TTTTTGGACAAAGTTCTTAACATTTCTGGCATGGTGATACATTCGTTGAAGATTTATCAAAAGGCGGCTCAACGTTCTATTATATGAAGTGACCTTATAATTAATCATCGGATAGGAAGTGAAAGTATCATTAATCAATCAATCGGATAAGAAGTGTGCGTATAGTTAATCAGTCAATCTTGATGGGTTTACATGCACTCCTATTAATTTAAAAAGTTAATCATCGGATAAATTTGTAATGATTTCAAAATTTGAGATGTTAAAGTTTTGTTTGTCGCAACTTAAAAAAGTTAAAAAGTTAGAAGTTATTATCTTATTTAAGTCATATCATTTTATTTAAGTTGCATCATTCTTTATTATATCATTTCAAACTTAATCCATATCAATCTCGTATTTAGTAAAAAGTTAAAAAATACACTTATTTAGATCATCCAAACCACCTTTAATGAGATTTGGCCTTATGACTTTTAGGTATATCAAAAAATTTTATTTTTTGATCTGTAGATGAATTTAAAAAATATATTTTTAAAAAAAATGAAAAAAAAAATTGAAAAAGTTAAAATAAGCCGAAAGATTGCTTCTTTTTTTTTTTTTTGGTTTTTTTTTTAAATTTATAAATTTTTGATTCGTCTTATCGAGTTGAATTTAAAAACTTAGGTAGCATTTGGTAAAAATTTAAAATTGTAATTTGATAATAGAATTTTATTTTGAGTTTGTGAGTTTTAAAATTATGATTTGAATGTGAAAAATTTATTTTGGAAGTGATGATAGAGAACACTAGAGTTGGAGCTCTAATGCCAACTCTAGTGATGTGACATTATATAAAAAAATAAAAAAATATAACATCACAAGTCAAAACATTAAATCATAAGATGGGACCAACCTCTAGAGATCTCAAACATTTTTGATTTGTTTAGGTATGAGTTTTGAAAAATTTTTTGAATTGAATTTGAAATGATTTGATGTGACATATGATATTTGATTCAAAAATTTATAATTCATAACCAAACACACAACCCAAAATTATTTTCAAAGCTCATAAAAACTTTTTAAAAAAATTCTGAAAATGTTTTTTATTTAAAATATAAAAATAACAGGTGCCAAAAAAAAAAAAACACTGTTCCGGTCAACCCGCCAGACGTCCGGGTAAATGTGTTTTCAGAAGTGAGTATGGAATCAATTTTTGAAAACATGAACCAAACACCACACTCAAATATAAGAGTAAAATTAAGTTTAAGGAGCTCTACCAAACGGGGCCTTAATTTTTTAAAAAAAAGTTGGATTCCCCAAAAGGGACCAATATTTTGGGACGGAGGGAGTAATAGAATTTTATTTTGAGTTTGTGAGTTTTAAAATTATGATTTGAATGTGAAAAATTTATTTTGGAAGTGATGATAGAGAACACTAGAGTTGGAGCTCTAATGCCAACTCTAGTGATGTGACATTATATAAAAAAATAAAAAAATATAACATCACAAGTCAAAACATTAAATCATAAGATGGGACCAACCTCTAGAGATCTCAAACATTTTTGATTTGTTTAGGTATGAGTTTTGAAAATTTTTTTGAATTGAATTTGAAATGATTTGATGTGACATATGATATTTGATTCAAAAATTTATAATTCATAACCAAACACACAACTCAAAATTATTTTCAAAGCTCATAAAAATTTTTTAAAAAAATTCTGAAAATGTTTTTTATTTAAAATATAAAAATAACAGGTGCCAAAAAAAAAAAACACTGTTCCGGTCAACCCGCCAGACGTCCGGGTAAATGTGTTTTCAGAAGTGAGTATGGAATCAATTTTTGAAAACATGAACCAAACACCACACTCAAATATAAGAGTAAAATTAAGTTTAAGGAGCTCTACCAAACGGAGCCTTAATTTTTTTTAAAAAAAATTGAAAATACACTAACAGGGATAAGCGATAATATAAACAGACTCCAAAACGAACTTTATTACCAAAAGACATATAAAAAAGTGAAAAAAAACATACAAAAAAAAGTAAATAAATGATATGATAGAAGTAAATGATAAACAACTTATTTATGACGTCAAATGAGCCCTAAGCTAAATTTTTATGTGATAATCAATTAATGAATCAAATTTTTAAAAAGTAGTGCTATTCAAGTTTTTAAATTCTCTTTTCAAATTTAATAATGTGGCAATCTATTTAAATATTTAAGTAAATTTTTTTTTTTTTTATATCTTCTCTAATAATAACACCTGTAAACTTTGTTTGAGATTTACCCGATTTATGTGGAGGAGACACTTTGCATGGGTCCTGGGATCAGTCAAGGTACGTGAAAACTGATCCAAACACCTAGTCATAAAAAAAATATATAAATCTTTTACGTATCATTGAATCTAGAAAGTGGGTCTACAAAATAGGCTTGGATATCAATTTTTCTTTTTGATATTACTAAAGTTGTTTTGGGAATTGAAAATAGGTTTACAATTCAAACAAGCCTTCCAAAATAGGATTTATGCCCCACAGTTCGTGATCCAAATAAAACTTCTGAAACAAGATTTATACCTTATGGTCCACGGCCTCAAGAAATTTTGCTAGTAAAAAGTGTCGAATATGAAACCTTAAAAAGAGCAAATTATCATGTCCCATACCTCATCCACCCAATCAAATCCTGAAATTGACTATTATATTTTTCTCCCTTCAAATTTTGTATAATTTAATATAAAAAACAACTAAATACATTGATTTTGAAATCGAACACTGGTAATGTTAGAGATCCATAATTTGGATCCTTAAATTTACTTACAATGATGTGGTAAGACACGTAAACCTTACACAATTAAATATATAACTAATCAAAAATTAACATGTATCATATTACATTATTATGGATCAAATTACTATAAAAAGTTTTGTGAGTCTTATATATTTTCTAATCCAACACAACATGTCTAAGTATATGATTAGATGAAGTATAACTTTGCAGTTTAAGGGCCAAAGAGGGCGCGATCATAAGCTAGATTAAGGCCTTATTTGGCATGTGTCTATTTTAATTTAAAAGTCAAAAAATTAATAAAAAAATCAAAAAGTCTATAATCTATAAAAAAAAAAGTCAAAAATTCTATTTTCTCACTATTTTTTGCATATCTTTTTGTAAAAAAAATTAAAAAATCATCTAAAATATGTTAATTTTTTTATCTCATATTTTAACAAAAAAAAATTATAAAGGCATTCCTAAACGAGGTCTAAGGTATATGGATGACAACTAGGATGGAATGTTGGATTCCACATCAATTAATAGTATGTTTGGCCATGTGAATATAAACTACCTAAACATCTTCCTAGGAATGTTTTTTAGATGGTAAAATAAAGACAGCAAAGAAGCTACAAGCAGAGAAAAATCAACTAGGCACTTCAGCGAAGAACAAAATCAATATACAATCTCGCACCTCTTCCATCCACACGACCTGGGACGGCCCTTGTGAATTTCAAGTGTCCAATTTTTCTATCATTTTATTTGTTTTGTTTTTTTTGTTTTTCGTTGCAACAATCTAATTATTCGAGTTAAACAGAAGCAAAATAATATTAAAATCAAACAATACTATTTTATTTAAAATTTTACTCAAAAGTTTTAATATAATACTAATATTAAATTCAAATTCATTTTATACCTGAAAAACACAATGCAATAACAAATTTATAACTAATCATATATTTTTCGTTTACCAACCATGCATATGAATATGTAAGGCTGTATTTGGCTCATATATTTGGAGAAATATTTAAAAACAAAAGAAAAAAGATGTGTAAAATATAGGTGAAATATAGTTTCACATTTCATACTGTTTCTTTTCAAATCTTTCTCCAAATCTTATGGGTGCAACTTGGTCGGGTTCAGACGAAGTGAGAAATTGTCTAAACCCAGCCCAAGTTGTGCTAAGATTTGCCCAGACTCACCCAAGCCTGAATCATAATCTGAGGTTGTCTGACCAAATTCAACCCGAGTTAAACCCGAATTGCTTGAGTTACCCGAATTATACATAAATTTTAGTGTTTTTTTTTTTTAAAGAGATTTATTTATAAATCTCATTTAGAAGACTTATAATCTAATAAGTCTATAAAGTCTTTTTATATTCTATTTAGTCTCATATATTTAGACTTGTATCTTATGAGATCATTTTTTCCTTATTTATAATATTTTTAGGACTAATATACCATTTGTTCTATTTTTGATAGTAAGTATTACAGACAATTGTAACCTTTTTGTTTCCTTTTTCTATTTTGACTGTTTTGAAATTAGCACTATTTTTGTTTTGCAACTACATATGGGTATGTGTTGGTAAGAATGTATATGACACCCCAAATATTTAATTAAATGCCACATAAAAAAAATTAAAAAATAAAATAAAATAAAAATAAGATAATAAAGAAAACATAGGTAAAAAAGAATCTTGCAGCACAAAGAAACTTCCTCTCACACTTTCTCTCTTGCTCTCTCTCTCTCTCTCTCTAACTTGCCCATTTGAGAATTGGAGAAAATCACAAAACAACAAGAACTCAAAGAGATGAATTGGGTGATGATCATCAAATAAAGAAACAAAATAGAACAAACCCTAAAAGGAGCTTATCATCATTATCATTCTTCTATTGTTGTTGTTTGAAACTCTATGTTCTTCCATCCAGATATCGTAGGGGCAAGGTTAGCACTATTTTTGTTTTGCAACTACATCTGGGTATGTGTTGGTAAGGATGTATATGACACCCCAAATATTTAATTAAATGCCATATAAAAAAATTAAAAAATAAAATAAAATAAAAATAAGATAATATATCTATATAATAAGGCACAAAAGTTTTTAAAAAATGTATCAAAATGTATTTGAGATACATTTTGATCCAATGGTTGAGATCAACTCTAAGAATATATTAACGGTTGAGATCAATAGATCTCCCGCCCAAGCCTTCTCTCCCTAAGCATCATCACCTACCCACGTCTGCCTCCCCACTTTCCCTTTCTATCTCTCTCTCTCTCTCTCTCTCTCTCTCTCCCTCTCCCTCTCTGTTCTTGAATACATCTCTCTTTCACAGATACATCTCTCTCTGTTTGGGATAATCATTGTTCATTATCCACAAGTTTTAGGTTTTGGATTGAGGTTTCAATGGCTGCTGAGGACTCAGATTGCTTTACCCAATTTGTTTCGGAAACACTTGAGACAGATTCACTTGGGGGTGAAGCAAAAAGTGTCGAAATTGGACTCAGACAGAGCGAAGCTGAACTGGGTTCGGGGAAGAAGATGAAGATAAGGGCTGAAATCGAGACGTCAGCGCCTTTCGAGTCTGTGAAGGAGGCAGCGAGTCGATTCGGTGGAATCGGTTTCTGGAAACCCAATTCCCACAAGCCCTCTGAATCTTCTGAGGTCTGCTCTCTCTCTCTCTCTCTCCAAGCAAATACATCTCTCTCTCTCTCTATTTGGTTTAGAATTTTAACCTGTTTCACAGATACATCTCTCACAGATACATCTCTCTCTGTTAATGTTTTTGCTTTAGAATTTTATTTTAACCTGTTTCACAGATGCATCTCTCTCTATTTGGGATAAAGAATCGGGTAATCATTTTTTTTTAATTTTATGAGTGAAAAATAAAAATAAAAATGAATACTATGTTCGCTTCCGAGCGTTTTCTAGGGTTTCGATTCCGATACCCTAGAACTGGCTTCAATTTTTTTTTTTATTAATCTCAAGAAAGCCAATTCGAATTGTACATTTTATTTTATGTTATTGACATAGAATTATAAAACAAAACCAAGACAACTAGGATCAAAACAAGTGGTTCTGGAGCACTATGTTCATCTCCATTGGTATATTTAGATTTGTGTTGTGATTGAAAAAAGAAGAATGGAGGTAGTAGGCATTTATATTGATATTGATTTATGGGTTAATGTTGTAATGTCGTACTGATTTATGGGTTATTGTTTTTTTTTATTATTATTATTGTTTATGGAAGATTCTTATGTTAATGAGCTAACAAGGAAGGTTGGGGTTTTGAGAATGAATTGAATTCTTTATGTTTTGATTTACTGCACAAAAAAAAAGAAAGGAAAAAAGGAAGCTTTAAGATTTGAGTTACCAGGGTTTTGATTCGATACCCTTAAACTCGCTTCAATTTTAGATTACAGAAAGCCATATCGCATTGTACATTTTATGTTATTGACATAGAATTGGAGTTTGTCTGCATTTATGTTGAAGTTGTAATGTCGTATTGATTTTTGGGTCATTGTCCTTTTCTTTTCTTTTTTTCCAATGGAGAATTTTTATGTTAATGAGCGAACAAGGAAGTTTGGTGTTTTGAGAATGAATCGAATTCTTTATGTTTTGATTTTTTTAATTATACTACACAAAAAAGGAAGCTTTATGTAGATTTGAGTTACTAGGGTTTTGATTCGATACCCTCAAACTCACATGAATGGGCGTCGTATATTTTATGTTATTGGCATATAAAAAGCAAGTGATTTTGGAGCTCTGTGTTAAGCTCAGTTGGTATTATTACTCTTTCCGTATGTTATAATTATGATGCATATTATGTAGATTTGAGTTGTGATTGAAAAAAGAATAATAAAAGTGAGTATGCTGTAATGTTGTATTGATTTTTGGGTCATTGTCTTTTATTTATTATTATTTTTTTTTGGAGAATTGTTATGTTAATGAGCTAAAAAGGAAGGTTGGTGTTTGGAGAAAGAATTCTTTTTAATTATACTGCTAAAAAAAAAGGGTACTTTATGTAGATTTGAGTTGCTGACTGATTGCAAGCAGTTTATAGGGTTTCGGTTGTATACTTCAGAATTCACTTCAATTTTAGGTAAGAGAAAAGTGAATTCATATTGTACATTTTATGTTATTGACATAGAATAAATATTTAAAAAAAAAAAGAAGACAGAGATCAAAGCAAGTGATTTTGAAGCTTTATGTTTAGCTCAATTGGTATAATTACTCTTTCCTTATATTATAATGCAGATTTATGTATATTTGAGTTGTGAATGACATATTGTAGGGGGTTGGATTCTTTGAGTTACATATATTTTAAAGAAGACTATAGGTAGTGATTTCATGCGTTGCAAATCAGTGATAATTATTTAAAAATAATGAAGAGTGTTTATGAACATTATTTTTTTGTTTCAATGCCAACACAAGGGTTTTTGAAAATGTGTCAATGGTTGAAAATGTATCAATGGTTTATGAATGAAAATGTATAAGCTGTTTGCTTTATCCATTTTTTTTTTTTTTAAGAGTGATAATGTGTTCATTGAGGGCAAGTGTTATTTTTTCTTATTTTTTACTGATTTCAGTTTGGATTTTTTTTATTCATTTACATGTGAATTCCTGTTGTTTCTTTAGCAAAGCATATACGCACACTTATTCCTTATCTTTTTGTTCACCACCTCTAATAAATGTGCATATTCAGAAATATAATATATAAAAAAAAATGTTTAGGTTGAGTTTATGGTTGCCGTATATGATATTCATGTTATAAAGGAAAGTTTTTGTGTAAGTAACTATTTAGATTTATGAGTCTCTTACTAACAAGTGCCACTAAAGCACATGAAAAATATAAAAAGAAACATAATACACTATTTATTGAATTCAATATATTTTTTCTTGAATTCAATTACACTTTTCATTGAAATTAGAACACTTCCTAACCATTTCACCTATTTTCACAACACTTTTACTCCAATAAAAGATAACAAATAAATAAAAAAAAAACCATATCTATATATTCACCAAATATATATAATTTTGTTTCAGACTTTAGGTGTCGGTGAATCACTCGGCAATTAAATCTCCTTAGGTAGTTGATAAGTTTGAAGTTCATTTAAAATTTCCCCGCCCTTATATGGCAACATAGATGGAAACCCAACAAAGCATAAGAGAGTTAGAAAGAAGTAGCAAATACAGTGGAAGCAGCCACATGAAGAAGGAAATGAGAACAACAAATGGATGTGAAAGGAAATGCAAACCAGATGGTCCTGAAACTATGAATGCTCAGATACCATACAGAACTCTCGGATAATCAATAACAATTTTTTTTTTTAATACATGATATGATGTTTACGTTGATACTTTTGCTAGGTTACTGTAGACACCTGTTGAAATCCTTAATGTTGCAGGTTGGGGAGCAATATGCTAAAGAAAATGGATTGCTTTTCTTTAAGACTTCTGCAAAAACTGCACAAAATGTCAATGAGCTTTTTTATGAAATAGGTGATTATAACTCTTATCATTTGGCATTAAGGGTATGTTTAGTCTCTTTATGAAATAGAAAATGCATTGCAAAATCTCTTTATGACTGATATGAGTTGGTTGACTGATATGAGGAGTGTTCTCTCTCTCTCTCTCCCTCTCTCTCCACATATGCACATGGATTTATATTTGGTACTACTGCTTATCAACCAGCAAATTAGTCAAAGAAGATCTTTTTACATTATTTTGAATTAATAAATGAAGTGGCTATAGAATGGATGGTTTTTTAATACTCTATGTTAAATGGACTGTTCAAAATAAATCAAATACCCTGTGTCAAACACTTGACACTTGAATTAAGGTGTGCCATATGTATTCGATACTTTCCATCAAACACTTCTTACATAATTGTATTCAAAACTGTCATTATAGATATATTTTGTTGCTTAATTGCTATAAAATGAGTAAAATGTCTTCTTTTTATCTATTTATTTTTTATGCTCTTATCTTTCATAAAACACCATTTTATCCTACAAAATAAATTAAAAATATGAATATATGACCCTTTTCTGCTAAGTCAGCATACCCTTTAATTAGAATTTTGATTGCTCTGACATCTAAAATTTGCATCCACACCTACATCTGTAACTGTGTCCATGTAACATTGTTAATACTGTTGTTTCCATGTATTGAATGTGTTGGTGTGGCAATCGTTGTCCATGGGTCAAGTTTGCGTGCAGGGTTTATGTTATGTGCTTATTTTTAGTAATTCTTGCAGCAAAGAGATTGGCAAAAGCTTCCCCTTCAAGGCCAGCGGGAATGAAACTGCTTAATAGATCACAAGAAGCAGGAAGAAGAGCATTTTGTTGCTCCAGCTGATACCTGAACTTGGCAAGAGAACGACTGTGAGTGATTTTCCTCATTTTAATCCCTCACCTTTAATTTGAAAGTTCATCTCTTGCCGTGGTGAAATGAAAATTATATCTCAGAATTGAAAATCTATCTTAGAAAATTCTCATGCCAATCGTTTCCTCTTTTAATAGGTAATCCGGGAACTATTGAAATTCATTTTTTGCTGATCCAAGTTGAAAACATGCAACACTTTGTAGGAGCCGTGTCTTACCGAATATTTGTCGCATGTATGTTGTATCTTGAAATAGCTTTGTGACAATTGAATTATTTTACATGCTTAGTTATGTGAGGGAAATGAATATGGAACTCAAAATGAAAATCATGGTCATGGTGCATATACTTAAAGTCTGGTTGATGAGATTGATGAGGTGAAATATTATTTTATTTTGACGCTTAATAATTCTTTGAGCTCAACTTGATAGTAAGATGAAACACCTTGAACCCTCATTAAGATTCACTCAAGAACAAACTGGTCAATCTCATCCATGAGATAGACAAGTCAACCTCAATCTTAATTTCAAGGGTAAATTACACTGACCTCTATTGTGGTTTGAAGAAAATATTGCAAATCCCACAGTTTTGATATAATTACATTGACTTTTTTGTTAATAAGGTTAAAGAGGCCAAAACTAATGCAAATGGTATGAAAACACAAAGATGATATCATTTTTTCATTTGTACAATTACTGATTTTTTGATGAAAAAAGGATTGAGTGTACTGTATATATATCTATATAATAAGGCATAAAGGTTTTTGAAAAATGTATCAAAATGTATGTGAGATACATTTTGATCTAATGGCTGAAATCAATTCTAAGAATATATTAACGGTTGAGATCAATACATCTCCCCGTCTAAGACTTCTCTCTCCCTAAGCATTATTGTCTTTCCCACCTACCCACGTCTGCCTCCCCACCTTCCCTTTCTATCTCTCTCTCCCTCTCCCTCTCCCTCTCTGTTCTTTAATACATCGCTCTCAGATTGCTTTACCCAATTTGTTTCGGAAACACTAGAGACAGATTCACTTGAGGGTGAAGCAAAAAGTGTCGAAATTGGACTCAGACAAGTTCTAAATCCGCTTCACTCTCTGTCTTTCATCGTTACTCTTGCTTGAGAACATCATGGGCAAAATCAAGATTGGAATCAACGGTAATGTCATCTTCTCATCAGGTTTTTCAGTTGATTTTGATCTGAGTTTTTGTGCGTGTTTGTGGTGATGTTTTTAGGATTCGGAAGGATTGGGCGTTTGGTGGCTAGAGTGGCTCTTCAGAGCGATGATATTGAACTCGTCGCTGTTAATGATCCATTCATCACCACCGATTACATGGTAAAAGCAAACATCGTTTCATTTGCATTTTATTTTACCAGTACTGTTCATGATTGTGTGTGTGTGTGTTTTTTTTGTCGTTCTTCCTATTTTCGATCCTTTGATTTATCAATCGGACGCCTTCAAATCAAACCTCTGATCTGAATAATGCGATCCATGTTTTTTTTTAGTGTGGATCAATGGTGAAAGAAGTTTCTGAGGAACTTATGAAAACGAGTATGATATGTGTGAAATGTGATTTTGCAAATGTTTTTGGTGCATTCATTCAATTTGTTAGGATAGAAACATAGCTGTGATGTTTTTGCATGTAACAAATGAAGTTCTCTCACTATTTGTTTGGATAAATGCAGTCAATTTCATTTATATATGTAGATATTCAAGGAACTTGCTCCTTCAAGCTATCAGTGTGCGTAGATTGGAATTGTTAGTTTTGTTATAGAATTTGTTGCATCCAAGCTTATGATGCAAAGAAACTATTGTGAACGCAACAAAATCATGCTAAATCAAGAGTCAATCAATGTACACTTTATTTCATGCACATGCACACGGATGGATGCAGGATACTAGAATGTCTATGCTACCAAAAAAATTTGTTTTATATTTTTTTTGGAATCTTATGAGGCGAACCTATATGAAAATTGATTCATCATCCTAATTTTGCATCCCCAATTCCACCCCTAATGATGTGGAATTAGAAGGGGCTAAAGATGACAGAGAGAGGAGTGTAGGATTGCTTTATATGGGTCTTAGCCATGTCCTTGGATGTGGAATTGGGAGGCCTCAATTAGGGGATGTAGCAGGACTAAATGTACATAATTTGAAAATATTATTGCAAACACTACTATAATAAAGGGGTTTTCGAAACTTTAGGGGTTGGTTGCCCTAGCTGCCCCTTGGTCCATCCATACATATGCTTATGAATACAGAGAAATGGGAGTGTCTAAGAGAGAGGGAGAGACACTCATGAAAGGTGTAGAGAGAATGTGTGGGGTTGACATGTGGTATTTAGGGTTCGTATGGGAATTGGCCTTTTTAGTAGCTTTTTGACCTTTTACGAAAAAATATGTAAAAAATAGAGAGAATGAGTTGACTTTTTGTATTGGCTTTTTGGCTAAAACCTTTTCTTTCCATACAAGCTCTTAGTCTTGACTCTTGATATTATGGAATGGTCTAAATTCTGTGAATTTTTAGATGAATTGTTTTGCTCTTGTAATTTTCATATGATTCATATCTTTCTGCAACAAAGCATGGTGCATTTCCCTTTGCAATGCATATCCTTTTTGGTTTTTTTACTTTCTATTGTATCACGGACAATGGGATTTTTGAACCTTGATATCTGCTACAGTGGCCACAAGGCATCATTTGGCCATGAAATCCATTAGGACATCCATCTTCAGCTAACTTAATTTTGGTTTTGTGTTGTACAGACCTATATGTTTAAGTATGATAGTGTTCATGGTCAATGGAAAAAAAATGAGCTTAAGGTTCAGGATTCTAAGACCCTTCTCTTTGGTGACAAACCCGTCGCAGTCTTTGGTATGAGGTATTATAAGCTGATTTTGCTATCTTTATGTTTCATTTTATTTTCAAAATGGCACCCTTTGATTATTAATAATTTATTTTTTGATTTTATTTAGGAACCCAGAGGAAATCCCATGGGGTGAAGCTGAAGCTGAATATGTTGTTAAGTCCACTGGAGTTTTTACTGATAAGGACAAAGTTGCTGCCCATTTGAAGGTTTGCCTTTATTTTTTTGCTTTATGGATTGGTATTTTGATTTGTGTGCATACTTTCTCTGATATAGTTGAAGAGATATATTTGTCTTGCTTTCATCAATATTGATTTCTGGTTCTTTTACTTCTTTAAGTGGACGTGTTGCATGTTGAATCTGTTTTCTTCTTTGGCTAAAATACCAGTGCTGGTACAATGCCCCACTCATGAATTTTGACTTGATATGTTATGCTCAATTGGGCAATGTTTGTTATTTTGTTGGCTAGCAAATGTTCATGACGGCATGGTTTGTTGATAGTATTGCTCTTGATTTTTTTTTAATCACCAGGGTGGTGCAAAGGAGGTTGTCATTTCTGCTCCAAGTAAGGATGCTCCCATGTTTGTTATGGGTGTCAATGAGAAGGACTACAAGCTAGATATTGATATTGTTTCCAATGCTATCAACAAACCATTAACATTATCAATATCTAGCATTGGAAACATTATTATACCCAGTGTGTTAGTGTTCCCCTTCAATTACTATGCATTTGTCTACACCATTAACATTTGTTGTATACAGTTTTTATTTATTTATTTTTATTATTATTATTATTTTTTAATGGTTAATTGATGGAATGCTTTCAATATATTTCAGGGAGGAATTTAAGGATGAGGAGATGGTTGATGTGAAGTCATTACATATTCGAAACTTTCTTTGAAGTTGAGTTTGTTGGTTAGTGCTTTGCTTTGCATTTAACAATTGTTAGGATACTCATATCCATTAATTATTTCTCTATCTTCTTTGATTGAAATTCATTGATTACCTAGGGACCTGTCTTAAAAACAGATGTAATTCTAGATTTAATAGTAAACCACTTGATTATCTTTTCGTCTATTGTTATTGGTCGGTTTCCAAACAAAAGAAATTTAAAAACTATGCCAATATACTGTTCTCAAATTTAAAAACTATCTTTTCGCAGCCCTTTAAATCTATTCTCAAATTTTCACAAAATCTTAAAAAAGGGTAAATTATAAATATGCCCCTGATGTTTGTAAAATATTCTCACTCTCTCTATGGGAGCTTGCATTTTAAGATTAGTATCCAGAGTTTGGTAATGAGGTGCGGTGTTGCTTTTAAGTCAAACTTGGTTCTAGATCATAACACAATGCAATTATACAATTGGATTTGTTGATTGAGATTTTATTTTATTTATTTATTTTTATTTTTTGTCAGTCAAACTTGGTTCTTATGTAGTTATAATTTGATTAGCAGCAGTAGCACTAACTGGCGTGCATTTAAGTTTTAATTTCTTTTAAATTGCAGAGCACTGGCTATTGTGCATTATTTGATATTTTAATTTTTTTTTATATTTGATTTGTTTGGAATTGTAGAATACAGTCTGTTAAATATATTTTTATAACTGCATTTTAATTTTAATATTATTTATACCGCGCCTTTAGGCACGGGCATACACTAGTATATAAATAAAACAAAATAAAATAAAATATTTGATTTTATAAATTACACTCGCTAAAATGTGATCTAACTTAAAATTTGATGCATTATTACTATCAAACCATAACAATGTGGTCAATATAGGGATGACAATGGGGTTTAATGGAGTGGATATTAATTTTCCATACCCATTCCCCTATAATAAATTTTTCCCATTCCCCATTCTCCATTCCCCATGGGTACCACCCTCCCCATTTCCTAATAGGTTTGGACTTTCCCCAACCCACTTTAATCTCCATTTTTGTTTTTATTTTTATTTTTTATATTAATGTTAACAACCACTTTTTTTTATATAAAAAGGTTCACAACAAAAGCTAAATATACCTTCAATCTTCTTTCTTTCTTTTTTAATAAATTTAATGTTAACAAATTTTTTTTTTTAAGGTTCACAACAAAAGCTAAATATACCTTCAATCTTTTTTTTTTTAATATATTTAATGTTAACAACTCAAGGTTTTAGCTAAATATATCTTCAATCTTTTTTCTTTCTTTTTTAATATATTTAATGTTAACAACTTATTTTTTTATTTTTTTTTAAGGTTCACAACAAAAGCTAAATGTACATTCAATCTTATTTTATTTTATTTGGTTCAACAACAAAATCAAATACACATTAATTAATTAATTAAAAAGTCTGTTTTATAATAATCAAATATATAATTTTAAGACAATCAAATAAGTTTTAGCAATTAAAAAAAAATGTGGAAGAACGTGAAAGATTAAAAAAAAAAATTACAACCATCTCTCTCACTCTCACTCTCACTCTCACCCCTACATGTTATAAGAACCTGTTTACAATGTTATAAGAACCTGTTTGAAGAAATAAAATGTGAAAGAACCTGTTTGAAGAAAGTGTTATAAAACCCATATTAAATTGCATCAGGGCATAAACTAGAAATTGTTTGTTGATCTCTTAGCCACGGATATTTTAGACATTAAACCATTTTTCTCTTGGCAAATTTGAACCATTCATTTTAATTTATCCAAAATCTAATTATACCTTTTAACAAATCTGAACCACTCATTTTAAGATATCTATGCCTTACCACACCCAATCCATCCTCCATCTTCTTCCTTTATTCCCCCACTAATTTTGTTGTTTGTTATTTTTAAAAAACAAAAAATGTTTTTTCAATTAGAGTTTTACTAATTTCAGAACACCATCACCACTATTCTCACCTTCACTATCACACTACCATCACCATAGCCACTACCATCATCACTGCCGCCATCACCCCACCACTATGTAATTGAGATGATCTTTATACTAGATTAAATAGTAAGATGGAGAAAAGAAACGAATGTTTACACTCATGCTTGTTTTGATTCTCTACAATTTCCTTATTTTCAAATACATTCATATATATATATATATATATATATATATGTTGTATAAATCGTGTGATAACATAAAACAAATAGATTCATACTCGTTAATTGAAATTTCAGAACAAGCAAACCATTCTGAAAATTACTATACATAACAAAATAAAATAACATAGAAAAGCAAACCGAAACCTATTCTAGACAGTGTTCTTAATTTTTTAAAATAAATTTAAAAATTTTTAGATATGCATAAAATTTGACAAGAATAATGTGACAATGTTAATTAAAGTGTATTTGATTTTATTGTTGAGCCAAATAAAATAAAATAAGATTGAATGTATATTTAACTTTGGTTATGAATAAAAAAAAAAAATTGGTTGTGAACCTTAAAAAAAAATTAAAAAAAAAGAAAAAAGATAAAACAAAACAAACGAAAAAAGATTGAATGTATATTTAGCTTTGGTTGTGAATCTTAAAAATTAAAAAAAAAATGGTTGTGAACCTTAAAAATAATAAAAATAATAATAAAAAAAGATTGGAGGTATATTTAGCTTTGGTTGTGGATCTTAAAAAAAAGAAAAAAAAGAAAAAAAAGTTGGTTGTGAACCTGAAAAAATAAATAAATAAATAAAAGAAAAAAGATTGAATGTATATTTAGCTTTGGTTGTGAATCTTAAAAATTAAAAAAAAAATGGTTGTGAACCTTAAAAATAATAAAAATAATAATAAAAAAAGATTGGAGGTATATTTAGCTTTGGTTGTTGATCTTAAAAAAAAAAGAAAAGAAAAAAAAAAGAAAAAAATGTTGGTTGTGAACCTGAAAAAAAAAAATAAATAAAAGAAAAAAGATTGAATGTATATTTAGTTTTGGTTTTGAATCTTAAAAATAAAAAATAAAAAATAAAAAAAACATATGGGGAAATTAGTGGGTACCCATCCCATGTGGATATTTAAAAAATATCACTTACTCTACCCAATGGATAAGAAAAAAAAAGGAAAAACCCATGTATTTGGGTTGGGTCTCCATGGATACCCACAGGGTAGGTTATCCATTGTCATCCCTAGGTCAATATACTAGTTGGGGCCAAATCCCTATAACTAATTATTTTGGGGACAAAATGAAATTAAGGAAAAGGTAAATAAACTGTGGCACTTTTAGCTCAAGGACACCTGTGCTCAACGGTGGCTTCTCAACCTCACGCCACCTGTAAGAAATTGAAGGCTTGGAAAATGATTCACCTTTAGTAAAGGGGTGAATCACCTCCTTTGTATTAGGAGTGTAAAAATAGTTCGCGGTCTATGGGCGGTTTGAGATGGGCTTGGCTCGTTTAAGCTCATTTGGGCCTGAGCCCGAGCCCCTAGGCCTAGGCCATTATCTTGAAGCTCGACCCGACCCATGGGCTTAGCCCTTCTGGCCAGGCCCACATGAGGCTTAGTGTCTTTTTAGTGAAAAATAATAAAATTTTGGTAGAAATTTAAAAAAAAAAAAATAAAATGGTTAGGCCCGCCCAAGCCTGATGTTAAGCCCATCGGCCCGCCCAAGGCCCCAATATCCTTGGGATTGGACCTAATTTTTTGGCCCGTGGCCCGGCTCGAATCTTGGCGAGAGCTTGTGAGGCCTGACATGGGCCAGAAATTGAAGGCTTGGAAAATGATTCACCTTTAGTAAAGGGGTGAATCACCTCCTTTGTATTAGGAGTGTAAAAATAGTTCGCGGTCTATGGGCGGTTTGAGATGGGCTTGGCTCGTTTAAGCTCATTTGGGCCTGAGCCCGAGCCCCTAGGCCTAGGCCATTATCTTGAAGCTTGACCCGACCCATGGGCTTAGCCCTTCTGGCCAGGCCCACATGAGGCTTAGTGTCTTTTTTAGTGAAAAATAATAAAATTTTGGTAGAAATTTAAAAAAAAAAAAACAAAAAAATGGTCAGGCCCGCCCATGCCTGATGTTAAGCCCATCGGCCCGCCAAAGGCGCCAATATCCTTGGGTTTGGACCTAATTTTTTGGCCCGTGGCCCGGCTCGAATTTTGGCGAGAGCCTGTGAGGCCTGACATAGGTCGGGCCCGGGTGGGCTAAGTTGGGCCAGATTTACACCTCTACTTGGCACCTAAGTATAAATAGGGGAGACCGAGCAGTAACTTGGAAAACAAGCAAAAACAAATCAGTATATCAGTAAGTTAAAGGAGTCGCCGAATAGTAAAGATCGATATCAAGGTGAGTTATATTAAGCCTTGAGTAGTCATAAATTGTTTTATTATTTTTATGAATTATCTTATGCAAATCATGTTTGTATTAATTTTATGAGCCCTGTTTGTTTAAATTTAAACCCATGGATATATTTGTTTAAAGTTTAGAATTTATTTGACAAAGAATATATCAACGTTTATTTTTATAAATACCACCACGGATGTTCCATACCTTAGGAAACTTAAATTACCATTGACCCTCTGACGGTCCCATACCTTGGGGAACTTAAATAACCATTGGCCCTCTGATTAGTCACTTCGTGACCCTCTGTCAGTCATAGATCTATTGACCATCTGTTTTGTTCTATACTGTGGTTATGGTTATTTTGCATATATGATCTTTTTTTATATGATATGTCTATTAGTTAAAATAATTTACTCGAACCAAACTATTCATTGTTTAGCCTAAATAATTATCCATGGTAATTTATATACCCGTATACTCTTAGTATAATATTCCTTATTCTGCCATATGTTTATAGCTGTTAAAACCCCTTTCAGGTGAAGAAACTTAAAGAATGATAGTTTTACCCCATTGATCAGAACCCAGATTTGATATGAACA